ATTGTATAATACCAAATATGATATTTTTCTTGTAACCCTATCCCTTTAGAGTATATAAGGACAGGCAGGGGTCCCCTAGAGAATATATCGAATCTGATACACAATCAATACAAAATAATAGAGCACAAGATGTGGGGTGTTACGTCAAGCTGACGGTCTGAACCTGTATAAATCTTATGTCTTGTGTCTTTATTACCATCTGGTTCCTATTACATGGATCTCCACCAATCATCTACTACCGTGGGTATACCCCTCGTTAGACTGCCGACTAGATTTCATCGACAATGAGGGCCTCCTTCGGTCTAGCCCGCAAGGTGGATGTGTCGGCGACATCATGGGCCCCCCTCCCATTCGTGTCCACAGCGGCAATCGTACCCTTGGCTTATGCATGGCTTGTAGTGGCGGTGGAGGAGGCGCCACGGCCGCTCGCGCCTTGTCGTCATCCTCTGGTGGTGGCCATGGCCCTCCTTTGCCTCCTATGACCGCTGGCGTGCATGGCTCACGTGGATCTGCATCCGGCATGCCTGCCGGATCCAGGAGCCATGGTAGACGTCGATGACCCGCGACGGCAGCTGTTGCGGAAGACAATTTCAACGTCAACAATCACAATGTAGCTGAAGACAACGAGATCTTTCCGAACGTAGTCCCGGTATATTTCCAAACCTAGAAAAATATGCTATGTGTTAGATTGTTTCGTTTTCGTAATGTATGTGCGTATTCTTGCTATGCATGGATTAGGCTAGAGTCGATAGGGGAAATTGGTCAGATCAAATACCGAAAAATCTGTGTGAAATTTAGGTTGACCAAATTAATAAGGGTAATTGCATGAAAGGAGTCATGAACAAGACATGGATGAGGGAGGTCATAGGAAGGTATTATGTAGCAACCAATTTGGTACATGATAGAACCCAGATCGCTAATAGGATTAGACAACTGAAGGGATATTGGCAATTCATACAAAGACTACGCAATGGCATGGGCTTAGGCCGTAGAAGTGGTGGTACTATTGATGCCACTGATGAATGGTAGGAAGACAACACTAAGGTAATTGACAAACTCCTTGCTTGTTGTTTTGCATCTAGTAAGTTGTACACTTGCTCACAATGATAAGTTCTGCAGGGCCACCCAGACTGGAAGAAATGCAAGTGGGGGTGGCCAGATTACATCGATGAATTGGACCAAATGTTCCATGATGTAGCAGTTGATGGCTCCACCTCATTTGTTGCTAGAGAAAGTATGACTATAGATGAGGAAGACGAGGAGGACCCACCTGAGGACTGTAACACCCCGGTGTTATGATCTTATTTAGCACCACGATTTAGGCCTAAGTAAAATTTTTGAATCGAGTTTTCTCGGGTTTTAATTTAAAACGTACTTGAGGCAATAAGCGAATCCTATGTGACTTAGTTTCGCGGACTCAAATCAACGTCCAAGTTAAATTACTCAGTGTGTGAAGATATTCAGGAATGTCGAACGATGATGCTAGAGAACGGTTTGTCCTGTTAGATTAAGCATGAAAAGCAACTTTTATAAATAAAATAAAATCTATTAATAAATAGAACGATATATATATATATAGCTTTTGAATCAAATTTAAATTCGAGCTTGTTGAAATTTTCCTGTGCCTAGACATTGCAAATTATCTAAATTATCTAATATATTAGTATATATATATATATAACTCTAAAACAAAGAATTAGAACTTTAAATGTCGGGTTACTAGCCATGTGTTTTCCCCTACTAACGCTCCTCGCTCTTGCAGCAGAGCCACACTTCTTCCTCCTCTCGCGCTCGACGGGTTCTCGGCCGGCTCTGGCTTGCTCTTTGATGCATCGTCACCCCCTTGTTTGCGTTCGCCTCGCGTGCTCGTGGTCGAAATGATTTGCCGATCTGCTCCGACTTTAATCGCGGGTTCGTCGTGGCGCTGTGAGCTCCTCTCGCCTCCTCTGCTTGCTCTCCGCAGCGTCACCCATCGCCCTCGGTGAGTCGTTCGCTCCTCCTTCCCCACATCGCACGCCGTGCCCATAGCGTCGCCTCATGAGTATCGTCTCCTTCCTCACTTCGCCTCCTCCTCCTCTCCTCCTCACTCCTCCTCCGCGCGCCGCAGCTCCACGGCGACCGCGCACGATCCATTGCCGTGCCGCCCCTTCCCCCGATGCTTGATCGCACGACGCGCCGCCATCACGCTTAAGCTCCACGACCGCTGCGCTGCGTGGCCGTGATTTGCCAAGAGCACCACCATCGCCGCCCCGCCATCTTCTGCGCCGACCTGCTTGCCGCCGAAGCCGGTGATGTGCCCGCTGCCTCCTTTTTCCGCGCCTTGTCTGCATCGGGCCACCGTGCTCGCCGTAGCCGCGTCATCGGAAGCCACCGCGGTTCCTGCTTGGGCCACCGCCACCGCTTGCGCCGCGCGCGGTCACGGTCAGTCGCTATGTCCGCCCTCAAAGACGCGGGGGCCCTAGCGGGTGCGCTTTTGCCCGCCGCCCGGTGCCGGGAGCCGCCAATTGCACCGTCGCCATCGTGCAGTCGCCCGCCGTGGCCATTGTGCGTGTGGTCGAACCACTGCCACCTGCGTCTGGCCAAACCGCCACCGCGGACCACCTCCAGTCGAGTCACGCCCTGCCTAGGGCGCATGTGAGGCTGTTGTAGCCCCGCGTCTTCACTGTCGTCGGCGTGTGCCGCCGCCATCGGCCGGCGCTCTGTTTTCCCAGACCGTGCTCTGCTCTGAGGATGAGGAAAAGGTAGAAAGGACTTGAATGCAAATATAGATGTTTACTGTGTCCATTTTGCATAAAGCGCTAGGCTCATAGATTCGCAAAAAGAGGCTTAGTTGATTTGAGGATAACTCAGGGGTCGCTTGAAAATTCATCGGACCGCATGGATGGGTTTGATGGGCATGCGGGTCCGCTCGAGCTAGGCCATCCGCCCTGTTGCCGGGCCACGGTGGTGAGGCGCCTCAGGCTCTTAGAAATTTGAGCCGGGCCTCGTCCGCTGCCGCCACCCATTTAACTGGCGGCGCAATGGGCTCGCCTTGAGCCGGGCTCGCACTGCCGCTTAGGCCGCCATGCCCCCGCTTGGGCGGCACTGGTGCCACACCGTCTGGGCCGCGCGTCCACGTTGGGTCAGCTAGGCCGATTAGTCATCGTCGGCCTTTTTGTTCTAAGAAAAACATTTAGCTAATTGGGTTTCAGAAATAAACTTGTAAAATTAATATAAAATTGTGTAGGTGTCCAAAAATGGTAAAACCAGTTTTGTTGAGTTCCTAAAATCATGATCTACCTAGTAGTGTATTTGTTCACATAGACTCGGTATGTTTTTAGGGTTGCTCTAATTATTTTAAAATGATTAATATTGTTAAAAGGATAACTTGTAGAAAATTGTTGTGATAAATTTGTAATGGTGTTGGATCTAAAATTTATACAGTAGGCTCCTAGCAATATTAGGTACTCATTGTAGTTTTGTAGCTCTAGAATATTTAATTTGCTAGATAGATAATGATACCCTATTTCGAATAATGATTAAATCGATAGAATGGGATAAAGAAACAACTTGGGTTTGTATAACTAAAACAATTGTTGGGAAGTAACGCCTTATTCAACAACATGGATACGAAGCCTAAGTATGGTCGTCGTTAGAACTAGCCCATTAACTTGAAAGGCGTAGATCGTATTTCTACGAGTCCCGATTGCAGTTGATTAATTACTTCTTGCATTGCATCGCATTGCATATCATATAGGTACGATGATGGATCAACGGATGAATTGAAGGATGATTGAGAATCTGAAGATGGAGTAATGGTATTCTCTCCAGGAGATGATGCAATGGGTTTTCTATCCAGTTGATGGTGAATGATCTAAAGATGCAGATACTAACTTTTTAATATATATCTTACCCAGGCAAGCCCCGGTACATAACCCCTACTTTCTGCAGTTTAAATTATAATTGTGCATTAAGTTTTAAGGAGTTGAATGAAACCCACTTGCATATATATATCTTTATCCTATGAGTCTTACTAGTATGATAGGATCGTGTAGAATGCTATACTACAGGACTCCGGTAGAAGTCGAGTGATTGCCTGTCACTCGCGAGATATAGGGAAACATATTATTGGATTATTATCATTTGGAAAATATAAATGGTGGAAAGGAAAAATGATGACCGAGCAGGGATATGTTTTGGGTATTGGTGGGTGTAAGAAGTTGTGTCGCTGTGGACGCGGGGCATGACTTGGTTACACTATTTTTTTCCCTGTCTGTGTCGGTTAAGGACCGGCCATTGCATAAGACTCTAGGCAAGTTACAGACTTATTATCCCGAGCACATACTTGTGTATGGGCGCTTGGAAGACTTGTTGCTCTCTTGTTGTGGGTTCGGCTCTTTCCGGACCGACGGTCAGGGTTTCTTTTTGGTGGAGGAGGTCCTTGCACCGCACTGAGTCTGGGACTCAGGGGCGGGGGCTTGGAGACCCAGTTTGGATGGGGACCTAGGACCCCGGACATGAGGGTGATGGGTTGATCCTGCTTGTGCCTAGGGTACAAGCGGGGCGTGTGTTTTCGGGGTACTCAACTGGGGGCATTAATTCGTGAATCGCCGGGCAATCCGGTACAGATTGTCTACGGTTTAGCATCGTAGTAAGAACTGAAAGATGAAATATGAAAGATGGAAAAAAGGAAATCTAATTGCTTACCACCTGCTTAAAAGTAGCACAGCTGCTTACATAGAATGGTTAGTTAATGAACCAATGCGGCTGTTAATAAAAATCGAATATAAGGACGCACGCTTAGTAATGCTTCCTGCAAATGCAATAAACCCACAAGCCAGATAGCCTTGCATATCCTTGGAGTCTTTTCTTTCCTCCTGTCGGGTAAGTCTTGCTGAGTACAATTGAGTACTCAGGGTTTTATTCCCCCTGTTAGCATCACTAGCCATAAGAGAGCAAGCAGCACAAGCACCACTGGCTCAAGTCCACGCAAGCAGCCCAAGAGCCCAGCAGTTTGGATGATGAACAATTTCATGAGCGAGAACGCCAGGATTCAAGCTGAGAGGAATGTGATGATCCAGAAACATTTGGACAACAAGCAGCAGATGGCCAAGCAGAAGGACATTGCCAGACATGAAAAGATTAGGTATGTGCAGCAGTTGGCTAGAGAGTATGGTGTAAAGAAGACAAACCGACAGTTGTGGTGTGTTGTGCACAAGATCACCAAAGATGAGGACAATATGGAGTTCTTCATTAGCACATCTACACCTACAGGAAGGCTAGCCTTCATTGAGCACTATGCCAGAGTCAACAACTAGATCCTCTTATCTTAACTATGTCTGTCTTTTTCATAATTCATGTCATGTGAACTCTGTCTATCATTGTAGTAAGGGTGTCATTTGAACTATGTCTGTTGTATTTGCACTATGTCATTTGAATTATGTTTGTCATTTGAACTATGTCTGTTGTATTTGCACTATGTCATTTGAACTATGTGTTGAGTCCAACTGTGTTCCATTGACTTCATGATCTCCTGGTAGAGTCATATGGCCTGAAATCTAGTACTAAGAGTACCTTGGTTGAGGCTTTAGGAATGTTCCTCTAGATGCTTAGAGCACCACAGTCAGTTAGGCAAGCTGAGAATAAATTTGAGAGATCACTAGGCACAGTTCACAACAACTTTGAGAAAGTTTTGTAAAGTGTGGTTAAGCTAGCTGTAGACATCATTAAGCCAGTCGACCTAGAATTCAGAACAATTCATCCTAGATTGAGAAACCCTAGGTTCCATCCCTTTTTCAATAATTGTATAGGAGCAATAGATGACACTCACATACCATATGTGGTGACAAGTGATAAGCTTGTTCGGCACATGTGCCGCAAGGGCATGACAACACAAAATGTGCTGGCTATTTATGACTTTGACATGAGGTTCACATTTGTTCTTGCTAGATGGCCTGGTTCTGTACATGATATGAGAGTGTTCGCTGATGCTATGACCAAGTACAACCATGTCTTTCCACATCCACCCAAAGGTAAACACCTTGCTGCTGTTGCATTTGCAGCTTCTACTTAAACTAGGTGAAACTTACAAAATTGTTCCATTGTGTAGGAAAATTTTACCTGGTGGGCTTCGGCTACCCAAACCGTCTAGGTTACCTTGCGCCCTACAAGGGAACCAAGTACCATCTTTCGGAGTATCGAGACGGCCCGGAGCCACAAGGTAAAAAAGAGATCTTCAACTACGCACATTCATCTCTTAGAAATGTCATCGAGAGGTCGTTTGGAGTTTTAAAGATGAAGTGAAGGATTTTGTTGCAAATGCCAAGTTATGCACCTCATAAGCAAAGCCAAATTATTGTTGCATGCATGGCACTCCATAACTTCATTAGAACGAGTGGAATAGTGGATAGGGACTTTGATCGTTGTGATCGTGATGAGAACTATGTTCCACCTGAAGCATCGGTCTCTTAGCCACGTATTCGTCAAATGCTGGCAAGGGATGAATCTGCAATGATGAATGCTTTCCGTGACTCGATTGCCCTTGATTTGTTAAATCGATCATGACAATTGGAACGGTGTACTTCAAATATAACGTGTGTGAGTGATTTGTATGATCGAGGACAATTGAGTTGTGTAACTGAACTATTCAATAATTGTGCAATAAAGTGTAATATTTGATTGTTTGTAAACACTATCGGGCATGTAGCAAGTGCTAGTAGCAGCAAGCGGTTGCGACTTGCTGCTGCTCGCCATTGCGAGCATCAAGCAGCAAGGGCGAGCAGCAACAACAAGTCCAGCACGCAACATGCATTGCTTTGCATAGTTAACAATTAATGAACCAAATCATGCAGTAAATGGGGTAAATCAATCTTTGTTTGGTACAGTGCTAAAGTTTTGTCATACATCTAAATACCAAAATGTAAAGTTTAAATGCCAAAAGATTTACAGCAAAAAAAAATTAGGATCAAAAAGTTTTGCCATTCCAAATGCATCTAAACGGCCCCATAATAATTAAAAAAAACAGTAGGACTAGTACATGAACGCAACGACTTGAGATGCACTGTGAGGTCGGCGGTGGTTGCTGCATGCGTGTATGTACTACCTTGAGTCCTTGACGCGATCACAGTACCGGATCCTTTGCTTAGAGGAGAAGACACATCTCTCGAGCCTAGGAGTACGTACATTTGGTTTAATTTGGATACGGGCCTCATGCAAATGCAATGGTCACATAAGGGCAGTCCCAATAGTGTATTGATGATGGTTTTTATCTTTATTAAATAACTTGCCATGTATGTAAAACGCTGACATGGCAACGTAATTAATGAAGAAAAAGAGCAAAATTCATAGAAATGATTTTCTTATGAAGAAATTAGGTCTACTTTTGACCCAATGCACCAAGAAACCATAAAATCGCCATTGGAGAGAAATCACCGGCTTTTATGGAGCTCGTGTCGCACTCCCATTAGAAGAAGAAGATAGAGTTAGGAGAGAGAAAGAGAAAATAATTATTACTCATAGAAACAATATGTTGAAAAAAATATTACTTTTTTTTAGTGTAGTATCCTATATGTTATAGAAACTAATAGTTTATTTGGGACTGCCCTAAATAGCTCCTGTGCAGCTGACAGAAACAAGATGCCCGTACGTCTGCGTAGTAGTAGTGCAGTAACTCGCTTTTATTTTTCTTCTGTTCTGTCTGTCGCGCGACCTTTACTATACTCAATTATAGGACCAATTATAGGACCAAACACGTTTACCAAGGAATGATACTAAATTATAAAAATACCCATGCATAGTTAAAGTCTCTGGAAAAAAAAGCCTGTGCGAAATGTTCTAGAAGACCCAAACATGTGGAAGAGAGGGCACCACATCGTTCATGAGCCTTGCGTCTGATTTTTTTTTCTGTATGCAGCAGCTTACTCAGAATGGGTCCCGCAAGAGAATACGGCAGCATTTGCTTTATGTATGCATTTTTCGTGGGATAAATTTTAAACCGTAGGATTGCATTTTTTTTTTTTGAAGGAGTACGTCGTATGGCCATGGAGTCAAGCGACGCGCGTGCCACCGCTAGATCTAGCACGGCCACTGGTTGCACAGGCGCACACTGCACACAGGACAGCGGCCTGGCCTGGCAGCCTTGCTCATCTGTTGAGCCCCGCAGCGCCCAGCGCTGGACCCGCGAGCGGGTAATGGCGTGTGTACCGGAAGCCGGACCGACCACCGGTGGCCGAGCCCCGGGCCGTCAGGTTACTACTACGACATGTGCGGCACCGCCTGTTTTGATTAGGATCGGAGTGGTACGTGTATGTACATGCCCGCTGACGCTGCCTGCAAGGCAGGTAGGCGATGCCGATCGATTCTTCGCTGTCTCGGATCCATCCATCGCTGGTGGTCGCTGCCTCTGTTGCGCCTGTGACGACGGCGACTTGGCGCGCGCCGCCTTGTCGATGTGCCGGTATGTGGACGCACGCACGCACCAGCTCTATTGCTACAGCGCGTTCGGTGCCGCCTCATTTACCCCGGTTTGCCGTCTATAATCGAATATACTCCTAGATCGAGCAGTTCCATCCGGCCCCTGTTTCTATTGCTTGCAGGCAACGACGCGCAGAGCGCGCGGAGATGGCTACCGTAGACAGCAGGCAGTCAGAGTATCTATGGAACGTTCTCGATATATCGTACTGATGTCGCCGGTCGTTTCTCGTGATTCTAGAGTGTTCGATCTCCTGGTATAGCCTGCCACCTCTCAGCCCGTGCTGCATGGAGCAGATTGATTCATCTTTTGAGGGCAGCCCGCGTGAGAAAGGCAGGAACCGGAAGGGCCTCGTCGATGGAAAGAGATGCTGCTCAAGTTCCATCTTGATCGAGCTTATTATCTCTCACAGAATCACTATTGAATTATCCGAAATAATCTGAAATCTACTGCACAATGAATCAGCCGAACAACGTAGATTTTAGATTATTTCAAATGATTTAATAGTGTTTTATGAGATAAAATAAGTTGAAACAAGCTGGAACTTGAGCAGCTAAACACGGGAGATCAAATGATCGCCCTCCAACAGAAAAGAGGCATGCGAGAGCCCATGCTTAAGGACTAGAGTGAGTCGAAGAAAGAATTTTTTATTGTTCAATGAATGAGATAATGAGCAGACACCCGCCTCCTTTTTTTTCGAGGGAAGGAGTGGATGACACTATGAGAGCTTGCATGTAGTAGTGTCATCAGACACCAGCCTCCTTCTATTCACGAGACAATACGTTCATTTTGTTTCTTATGAATGTTGTATATGTTGTGTTTCAGAGGTATGTTGTAAGTGTTTATTCAAAATATTTTATCTGTTTCAGACGTGTGTTGCAATTGTTTTGATCTGAATGTTGCATCACATATGTTCTGTTTCAGTCTTATATTGCAATAAGTGTTTTTATGTTGCAAGTGTTTTATCTGGATGATGCATATGTTTCACATATATGTTTCAAGTGTATGTTCCAAAGGTTTCATGTGCTTCAGACGTATGTTGCGTCTAAGTGTTTCATATTTTTAGAGGTAGAGAGTCATGGGGGCACAGTCCAGACGCCAGGGGATGGAGCGCGACCAGCCAGGGTTGACAAATGAGGCGTGCTAGGGGCCGGCGATCGAGGTGCGCGGCGCACCTGGGGTTGTGCGGACGGGGCGCGCTCGTTCTCATCCTGCCTCCTAGGTCCTGCCCGCGCGGAGAGAGAGGAAAGGGCGGTCGTGGGGAGGAGGCGCGAGCGTCCTGACTCGCTAAGAGAGATAAGGGGGGTAAGAGGAAAGGAGCGATGGGCACGGCGTTTTGCGCGGACGTGCATGATGATAAAGGCGAACGCGTCTTTGTGTCCAGACGTCCGGACGCTAGTATCTTCCTTTGAGATGTAGCAAATGTGACTGATGAACACATCATCCATTTTGTTTCTTGAAAAAAAAACAGACATCCATTTTAGACGTTCGATGGACCTGCTACACCACGGTCCACGGACCGCCCGTTTAGTTGCCGTCGATTTGGACTCCCACTAGCAATTTAGCCCGCCAAAAGCCCATCACGGTGCCACCCGCATCGGGCCGTTCAGCCGGCCGAACAGCTCCCGTCATAACGGGCTCCACGGCCCAGCACCCCCATTCCCCCTCTCCAAGGAAACCGAACCATTCTGATCCTGCAACCCGCGGTGCCGCCGCCGCCGCATCGCATTGCCCCGACGCCGAAACCTAGCTCCTCAATTCTCCTCGCCCACCTCTCGCTAGCAGCTCCCCACTCCCCAGTCCCCCGTGGCCGGACGCTGCGGCGAGATGGCCTCGACCTGCTTCCGCGCCGCCGCCCGCGTGGCCTCCGCTGCCAGCCGCTCGGCGGCGGCCTCCCGCTCTGCTCCCTCCGCGGCCCGCGCCGCCACCGCCGCTGCCCACCGCGCCTCTTGCTTCTCCAGGTAACGGCGACCTGTTCCGCTCTTGCTCTTGGTGCTGGCGCATTACTGGATCTGTAATGGATGCGCTTGTTGTGGTGTGCAGGGTGCCGGTGGAGCTCGGGTGCTGCGCGGGATTGTCGCTGCTGCCGCTGCACAGCGCGGTGGCGGCGGCCAGGCTGACGTCCCGGCTGAGCACGGCGTCGAGCTGCCGTGCTCTCTCTCAGGGTATCCTCTGTCGCACCTATCCCGGGCTTTAACATCGTAAGATTATGCTCTTGTCTGTGTTTGCTTTCCATTTGGTTGACAGTCGCGTCCGTGTATTTTTCCTTTCTGTTAGTTTCATAGTTTACGGCGTGCTTGTTTGATATGTGTGAAGAAAAATTTCAACTTCATGGTTGTATTGTAACAGCGAAATGTCATCCTAACCATTTTGGCTGATCATGTTCAACACAAAACCATTTCCATTTTTCTGAATGCTGTCCGCCGTTCTGTAATACACAATACATGAATACCTTATGATCTCTGGAAAAGTACATATAAACAATGAAACCTTGAACGCTGAATGCAAACACCTTTCATTGTACATATAAACAATCTTGCCTTGAACGCTGGATGCAAGCACTGCTCTGAACTCTGAACGCAAGTACATATAAACAATTTGATGGCTATATTTAAGTGGAAATGATCATGTCCTTTAGATGGTTTCTATATTCTGACGCTTCTGGTGCATATAGCCCTATGTAGTAAAAATGTCGAAATAATGCTGTGACTGATTTTCCCACAGTAATTTACTAGTAGTGTTTCACCATACATTCAAACTATATGGATCACTGACAGATTTCCCTATTATCTTTCCCTTCATAGGGATATTTTTCTTTGTTGGTAGGAATAAGGCTGTAGCAGACTCCTAGTAAACCCCTTTCAGATTTCAGTCTCTTTGGAGAGGTTGTTTAGTAGCTCAATACATCCCATATGGTCATATGCTGATGCTCCGTAGGAAAGAAAAAAATCTCCTCGTTGCTTTGCAGTTCAAGATAAGATAATGTTTTCCATGCTGTGACGATTCCTGAGATTCGCTTATTCAAAATTCTTTGGTGGGTTGAGGTCAATTAAGTTAAGACATTTGGTTTCTGCAGGCACTGCTGCAGGCACATGACTTTGATAGTTCTTGAAAGATATTACTGGGAGCTTGCTGTTTTGCTTCATACAATCATGAAGAATGAGTACTTTAACACTGAAATTGTAATCGAAGACTAGTTTATGTTATTTACCTAGAATTACTAGCTACCTCTGTTGAGGAATACCTTGATGCAATAATGTGGCATCCTTTTTGAATGTTTTCCACAGTAATTGATTGTTTACCTGAGCCAATGTGTCTGCGTACAGTGCTTAAATTGTCGTTTATGCAAGCCTGCTCCTTTTTTTGGTTTTGAGACTCCTTTTTGCATCATGGTGTGCGTGCTTTCTTGATTTTTTTTTGTATTCAACAGAGTTTTGATCTGGTTGCCGTTGTAGTTTACCATATGATTACTCTTCTTTTCTCAGATGAAAATGATGGTACGTGAAACATTTGCCCAGTGTCTTAAGGTGGGTGCTTGGATGTTTGGCAACGATGCACACGCTTGCTACCGCGGCAACCACATTTAGTCATAGAGCTTATGCTTTAGAGTCAAACTTGTAAAGTCTTTTTGCAACTGTGGGGACTAACATGCAATACAACACTGTATGCTTCACGCTTATAATTGAAGAATGATTCAATGTTCAATCCTCTGATTTATGCTTTATTTCTTTGTTTTATATAGAGATGGGTCTATCCGTTCGAAGGTGATAAATCGCTGGAAGACCTGGTCATGTCATGCTATTGGACTGAAATGATTTTGTAGAGTAGTTATCTAAATGAACGTCTTGAGCACTACTCTTTATTACCCCATCTACAATCTTGGCTATATTAGATATTTGAGTTTTTCAAGTTTTTGAGTTCATGCCTCATGGTATCCTTTGATAAAAAACATGCAAGGATGGTTTGCTGACGTCTGGGTTATGTTTGCTCAGTGCAATTCTGAATGCCAATCTGTGATAATAACAGCGAGGAACAATTTAAGGTCTCCTTGTCATTTCGAAAGTGGTCGATGATTATGTAAGTACACTTGCTACCGTTTTCTTCAAATTTTTAATAAGGTGGCACGAACCTGAATGTGGCTCTCTAGTGAACACTTGGAGCCTCGGTTTGCTTTCGTTCGATGGGAGAAGTTAGCGAGAGAAGATGGGGAAGTTAATGACAAGTGGGTCATATGTGTCATTCTCTGTTACAATGAATTTGAATTTAAGGGCCCTGTTTTAAAGGCTACTGCTAGAGTTCTCTAAGCACTATCTAGCTTCACCTTTGATTAGAGTGCAATCAAACAAGGCTTTATGTGGGTTACTTTGGATGTAGGGATTTATCAAAGATGTTCTGGGATTTCATATGAATCATGGTACACTGCCTGCAAAAATGTTTGTTATTTATTTGGATGTTGTGGTTTTAGAAAACTATGGTATAAAAAATTATAGTTCAATATGCCAACGCCCTGTTCGCTTGGCTTATAAGCCGTACTTTTTCAGCCAACGAACAATATTTTTCTCTCATAACAAATTAGCTAACAGTACTTTCAGCCATGGTTTATCAGCCAAACGAATAGAGCATTGCAAAACCACGGTTTAGAAAAGAGAGGTCTCAAGTGAGGTTTTCAAAACTCTAAAAGGATTACAATTTGTAATATCATGGTTTCAAAAACTAAAAGATATGTTGCATCCAAACACTCAACAATTGTGGAGAGCCAAAGTATTTTTACAAAAACACGGTATTCTTAAATGCTTTGCATCCAAACAGGCTAGCATGTATAAATTGTTTTTTTTAAGTTTAAATTCCATTCCATCACAAACGAAATACAGATATGTGAAGATTGCCACAATCGCAATGTTCCAAAGCTTGAGCAACATTACATAATGGCGAGTGAGCTAATGTAGGGAGATAGAAGACAAGGGCTCTATTTGGATACGCGACCGAGCGGTGCGGCAGCATACGGTACGTGAAATCGGACTCAGTTCAATCCAGTGGTGGGTAAGTCTTGCGCAGTGAAAAGGAATATCGATACTGCGAGGCATTTGGTGGGATTTTTTCGATTCTCGCGGTGGAGTGACCGCGAATCTGATTATAATCGGTTCGAAACAGGGCTTCTGATCTCGATGACTGAGGTTTCTCACTTGACTGATCGCCAAGAAGAGGCCACAGTATCAATGATCTGGATCTGGATGAGTACGAGGCGAACTAGCACGAACAACCATGGCTAGCACCTGATTATCAGTATAGAGTTGCATCCTGCAAGTTGAGAGTCGTAACCAATTTGGCACCAAGGAGGACAAGAGTTTCAGCCTCAAAGGGTTCAAAAATACGAGGAATGGTCACTTGAAAAAATTATGCCGGGGAAACCCTTCTTGAATTTGTTGTATGGATGAAAATCCCAAAGCATGTTTGGTTTGAAGCAGCGGCACCCTAATGCCTACAGAGACATCACAAAGCGATCAAGGCAGCTGAGGGTCATTTGGATATCTGACAACCAGCGCAGTTCCACTTAAGAGCATCTCCAACAGTACCTACAAAAAAATACAGAGACATCACAAATAACTCTTGGACCAACTGGATTGTGTGAGCAAGTGAGCGTAGATTGTGGAGGAATATGCGTAATAGGATCATCCTCAATAGCCATGCAGTAAGCTTTGTCAATTGCGTTTGCTTCACGTGAAACTCTAGCATACCTGTGGGAGCATGTGATGGTCCGTGCTGTAAAACATTAGCAATTTGAGTGTGGAGTCCATGGTCCCATGAAGGCAAGGCATCGGCTCTAAGTTCATAGGTGATTGGGTGAGGCAAACAGAACAGCCCTGACAAAGCTGGAATGAAAAAAGAGTTGATTTTCATCTTCCAAGTTAGTTCAGCGAGAGCATGTCTCATCGACAGTTGAAATAATTTAGTGAACCCTGCTAGCAGTTCCTAGAGCGAGTTTCAGCAGTCTCCAAGCAAAAGTTTTGACCCGAGGTTGAATTGTTTTATCAGCCCCACACCTATCTGAGAATTTGTAGCACCTGCACATGAATGCTAGAAGGGGATTGACCTGACGTCTCCTCAACTGCCAGCATTCTGTAAGCAGTTTTGGAAGAGCACAAGACACTGGGGGCCGGCTTCCAGCTAATAATGTCAGGCTCGCTTCGAGAGATAATAGGAATCTGCACAAGAACTTGAAATGTTTGTTGCACAAAGAGAGTTGTAATTTTATTTTCATCCCATTTTGAAATGTTTGTTGACCAAAGAGAGTTGTAGTTTTATTTTCATCCCATTTTCTTGAGTTTTGGAGCCAAAGGTCAAACTTTTTCAGGAATTTGGAAGTCAGGTTGTTAGGTTTAAACGACCGTGCATCTCTTTCCAAATTGGACACCAAGGTTGATTCCAAACTGAAGTGTCACCCTTATTAATGAATTGGATAGTCACGTGTTTTTCAAGGCGGTGTCTATAATGGTATAAATTGTTGGAATAGTTTGGATACACGTTGCACAAAAAACAGAGAGAAAAGAGAAGTAGTCACGTAAGCAAATATGAATAAGCATTGTTCATCACATCATACTCATAAAGTTGAAGTACTGTACACTAACACAGCAAAGCTGTAAGAATCAAGGATGTTTATGTCTAGGAGCACTAGAAGGGTTATCCGTCAATATACAGGAAAGTACCGAAAATTCACCCCCAGTTGTCCATGTCATGTTCAAAAGCAGTGTTCAAATGCTAATAACTATTGCCTCAAAACAAATCCAAGTATTACATAACCCAAAACTTCCATCACCAAAGAATTACTAATCACCAATATATCCTCTCTTTTCTTAATACGCTATATGCCGATTTCAATCATTTAGCAGCTGATTTCACAAATATTGCTCTTGCCATGCTGGCATCGCCAGCAGCTTTCACGGTTTGGCAAACCACCTTCCCTGGGACAGGCACATACGAAGAGCTGGATCACAAAAAAGCTAGTGACCAGGGGAGTCTTCCTGTCCTTGACATCTTATCCAATGCCCTCTCAACACCATCTATCTGAACTTTAGTGGCTACCTGCTCCTTGACTTTCTTCTTATCAGCTTTTTTTTGTGCATGCTTTATCGCCTTTTGCATCTTTTCTGCCGCTTCCGCTCTCTTCTTCTCCAACTTCAACTGTTTCCAGTCGAGGTACAGAGGGGGGCGTCAAATTAGGAAAGCAAATCTATCCATTTCAAATAGAACTGCTGTTACCGAGCGTACCTCAGCACTTCTCATCTTCTGCTTGGCCTTTGCGATCTTCTTCCAATGCCAATCATCAATATCGGCTTCTTTCCTTTTCAGCCTATATGGTTTAGTAACATTAGTACTCTCTGACTAGAAAATTAAAAGACCTGTGGGTTATGAAATTCGAAGATTTGAAAATTAACACATAAACTCACAGGAGTCCATGGTTTCATAACCACACCAGTAATGACTTGGGCTTGTTACTTCAAATAAAATTTCAGGCTGAAGTGGTATTGTACTACATGTAATTACCTAACACTAACAGCCATTTGAAAACAAAATCTGACCATCTTAGCAATACAATCTTCTTACTACGGCTCTTTCTCTGAACAAGTCCAAAATTAAATGGTAACGAATATCAAATTTGGATGTTATGAAAAATGGGATAAGAAGGATTACTTTTCTATGAGCTTTGCAATCTGCGCATCCTTCCAGGCAACCAACTTGGCATGGACTAAATTGCCTTGTGGTTTTAACACGGAGCTCGGGATCCGTCTCTCCATCCTTTGCACTTCAACTGGACAGTTCTCACCATCTGAATCGCCAAATGCACGATCACTATGATTGCTACCCTCATAGGCACCATCAGACTCAAAATTCCAATCACGAGCTGCAACATACACGATTGTCTCAAAGTTCAGATTAGGCTGAATATCTGATGAACCCCATGAGATTCAGGCTGATACCTGAGGATATACGAGATGACACGGTATCAGCCTGCCAGTCTTTTTTATCACCTCCCTCGTCATCCCCTTCACTGACTTTGGGCAGTCTCCATTCATTGATAGCATCTAGTGCACCCACGCGCTGACGGAAATTATGTGAGGAGCGAACTCGGCGCATAAATCTAGCTGGTGTGGTCTTGTGAATGAATCTTGGAGGCATTTGATTGGCCCCTTCAACTGCATATTATTGAACATGAATTGCAAGAAAAATTTGTGCCTAATATATCAACAGAGGAGACAAGCAAAAACAGGCACCTCTCCTATCCAGCAGGGAAGGGTGCCTGGGTGTCTGTCTGATGTTTCGTGGTGTAGCAGAAGGATTCATGAAATCTGCTCTGGCCCTCCCTTGCTCTTCTTCCTTCAGTAGTAGATTTGGATTGTTAGTTTCTGCCTCAATCTGGTTGTGAAAGACCAAATGGATTTATAATAAAGTGCAAACAAAAATGGGACCTTCATGCATAGCAATCAGATGGAATCAGACATAGAAGCTAGATGACGCATAAGTTAACAAGTTAATGCAAAAATCAAGATGAACAAGTACATATTGCTATGAATTTTGGCCCTCACCAGAATTTGATAACTGACTACAAGCCCAAATCGTGAAGGAGCAGGCTTTACTGCTTGTCAGTTAACTAGGTCTGGGGAGCAATTCCACTAGTCCAGCAACATTAACACATTAAGAATTATCAAAAAGCCGAGACAATTGTAAGAACGAGCCATTTGCTCCAACAAGGCTACAAGTCTTGGATGAACCTAAGCACCTCCGTCCAAGAAACCACTTCTACTCCAGCATAGACTAGCAGAATGTATCAGCTCATTCCGACAGCATTCAAGACAGCAAACTACTAAGCATGGAATCAAGATCAAATGCAGGCCAGGTGGAGAACCGAAGACCATGGAGCCACCTTCGCTCCATATCGAGCAAGAATCAGTCCGGGAACAAAACAAACAAAAGGGGCACCAAGAAGTTAAGAACACGAAAACTGACCATCCGTGGCGTGACGAACGAGGAGGCGTCGTCACCGCCGTGCGGTTCGCGGTCCTCCTCCCCGCCGCCGCCGTGGCTGTTCACGGGGCTGCAGATCGGGGACGGCGATGCGGGGCGGTGCCTGGTGAGCGACCCGGCGCTCCACGCGGTGCAGCTGCCGTAGGACGAGGCCGGGCGGCGGCCGTAGGGCCCGCCGCGCCCGCCCATGGCGGCCATCGCGAGCAGCATCTGCGTGCTCCGCCCCACGGAGGCCTCGGCCTCGGGCTCCGGGTCCGGCTCGGCGTCGGCGTTGTAGCCAGGGGCGCCCCGCGAGGCCTCGGAGCGGGCCGGGGAGGAGCCCGGCGAGACGCGGGAGGCGGCGGTGGGCTCCCCCATGCAGGGCAGCGGGATCGGGAGCTGAGGGAGGTGGTCGGCGCGGCGCATGTTGGTGTTCCCGCAGGAGGAGACGCCGTCCGGGACGGCGGCAGCGGCGGCCATCTTCTTGGCTTCTTGCTCTGCTCCTTGCCCCTCCTCTCTTCTTGGTTAGTTTCAGAGCGCGCGCGTCCGTTGTGCCGTTGTGCTTGTGCCTTTGATCCCTTGAGGCCCTGAGGACGCAACAGCCGGGGGCGGTTTGTGTGGGCGCCTCGCAGGCTGTTAGGCTTCCAGGGCTGGGCCTCCTAGCTATTGGGCCGTGGCATGCGCAGGTCTTCGCTGATAGGTGGAGCCCACCTATGCAACGCACCGTTTCTTCAGAGGTTCAGGTTAGCAGACACAGAGATCCTCAATAAGAACCAAAGCAGACAGATAACAGTAACAGAAATAACAGCGCAGGCCAGACGTCAGGCACACCAGCTAGTGTGCCGTCAAATTTCATTCGACAGTTAAATCATGTGCTGTAGACATGTCGTGCTGCTGGTTCTATTCATTTAATCAACTCTTCCATAATTTATGAAGCAATGCTTTTCCTCATACAGAAATACTACGGTCAGGCTCCTCTGAGCAAATCTCAGCTTGTCAGTTACAACACAGGTACAAACACAAAATCAGGCGCCTGGTACCCGAAATTGTGCATCATCAAACTACCAGGTCCTGACTAGTTATGACGTGTCCTTGGCCTGAAATAGAAGAACGGGTGCCAGATTGCGAACGGGCCCCTTAAGTATCAAGAAACGTGGTTATCTTTGGTCAAGTCAAGAAATTTGGCTTCTGAGCACTAAGAACTTTGTGCAGTAGCCTTGCATAGTTTCCGACTAGCAATCCAACTAAGTAGCAACACCTGCTGAACACTTGAGCACCTTCCCTTTGATCCGTTGATGGGTGGGCAAGATCTGCTGCAAGAGAGGTCAATCCTTACAGGGCAGATAACAGGTGAAGCGCATCGCAGGGAATGGAGCACCAAGATGATCAGACTTCATACCCTTTTGAAAAATACCCTGCCCTTCTTTCCCATCCCAGTGCCAACGAGGCTCGCAGCAAGAAGTGACTTGTTGTCAGGTCGCCACTTCAGCTCTTTGAGATTGGAGAATAGCTCTGAAAGGGCAGGGGTTATTTCCTCATCCTTGATTTTGTTGCAGGTAACAACTTCTAGACTCTGGAGATCGCTCCATGAGGTTATCACCGATTCGAGACCTCGAGTTGTTAATAGTGAGCACCCTTCTAACAACAGGAATTTTACTCTCCTGCAAAATATAAGAACATGACTAAAGTTAGGCACAATCCAGCACCAGGTCCAATAAATACCAAGTTTCTACAGGTAACCAATCATCTACCCTGCACCGGCAAAAACATTGGCACACTCCATATGGCTCCAATTCCATTAGTACCAAATTTTGGCAGGCCATATTCACTCAAGCATTTCCAAAGAGGAAAAAAAAATCAAATACCCAGATGAAAATTTAAGAATATTAGGTAATTTTTTCCCTACTGTTTCCTGTAAAAATAAACAGGTGGCTACAACCCATTCATTTCCCAATTCACCAAGTTGTATTTGACACTGCACTCAGAAGGGGCATTTTGATAAGTGTGAAGCAACCAGTGTCACAACATCGGAGATGGTACAGATTTTCTTATGCAAGAATGTGTTGTTTTGTGAGCCTCTAAAATGAAACAGGAAAAGATGAGAAGGAAACAAGCTAGACTTTGAACAAGTAACTTAAACTAAGATGGCACATATTTGTTATCATGAGCGCGGAATTACTAATCATCAACAAACATGCATGGAATACATAAAACTGAGAGATAAATGCATCACTTTTTTTGGCAAACAGTGATATTTAAATATCATACAAGGAGCACTGAAATACACTGAGATAGATCTGAAAGGAAAGCAGACAGAGTCAAGTAGAAAAAGGAATGTTCAGATCAAAAGCGTGAAGGATTCTTAGTACATAGGAAGTACACAGGTAAATGTGGCTCCGTCATTACACCTGCAAGTCATTAGTTTACAGATGTATCTTAATCCTTGCTACCACTCAGCCCTGAAGGAAGAACAGAGATCAGGAATTATCCAGACACGGTCGCATTTAATGTGCATATAACAGGATAAACTAATCCCTTCACACGGGAGAAAAACCTAACAACAATTAGTGGTTTACATATAGCTAGATTAATAGGAGTAGATGAGATGACCCATTCTTGCCCTTTTTGAACACTGAACTAGGGAAGCTTAAGAGTAAGAACATTGTTCGGCAATACATTGTCAGTATTGCTCATGTGCAAGATGAATAACCAAATTCTTCATTGCTCCCAATAGTCATATTATACCGATTGGTTTATGAATTTTGGAGGAAGCTGGAATTGACTTATATAGTCATATCTTAATAAAATCCACTTATTCAGGTGTCACCTATCTATGTCATGTTTTACATTGCCATTAGTATCTAAAAAAACCTCTCATTGATGCATTGGTAATCCACACACTGTTATATCGAAATCTACATGAAACATGAGGCTATGGATACCACTGCTCTAATGAACAATATTTATAGGTATGTCAATGGGGCTTTTGCTGTAAAAGGGTTGATGAACAAATAATAGAAAACCACATCTTCCAGGAAATTAAAAAATCAACTAGATGCATTTTTGGGATGCTGGTGCATGTCTGTGCCATTGAAATGTATCATTTCTTCTCCTGACTGACAGAGAGGCGAGAGCACACAAATTTGTACTTGAACATCAAATACGTAGCTACAGTGATTGTATCAAGATCACACAATACATCATCATCAGTAATCATCTAAAATCTGCTAGAAAAGACTATCTTAGTAAGGATGCTAGAAAGCTCATAAAAAACCAGCAAATGCTCTCCGAAGTCACAAGGCAGTTCTTTATTTTTCGTTCCCTGAACTAACGGTGCAAACATTGAGGGGTCCATAAGTAGCTAGCAATCAGATTCATGACCTGAGCCTGACATCTGACATCTACTAATCCTAGAGCACTGAATCCTCTTGTAGAGTAGTACTCCGTGCATGTGATGTTATTTGTTACCAGCATGTCACAATCACAGAATGAGCATAACGCGTTTAGTTCAAAATTTTTTGGGTTTGGCTACTGTAGCACTTTCGTTTGTATTTAGCAATTAGTGTCTAATTATGGACTAATTAGGTTCGAAAGTTTGTCTCGATTTCTTACCCAACTGTGCAATTAGTTTTTTTTCGTCTACATTTAGTACTCCATGCATGTGCCGCAAGATTCGATGTGACACTTTGGGTTGAAATTTTTGGGAACTAAACAGGGCAGTCAAAAGCTAAAACTGTCCCCAATATGCAATCATTGGAACTATGTCAAGAAACTCTTTAAGAAATGAGACTGGTGGTTACTGGTTCTAGTGTACCTGCATAGGCCAGCCAAGGCAAACATATCATCTTCAAGGCCCCAGCAATTCTGGACCTGTATCTCACGGGCTCCCTCGCAGACCAAAAAGAGGGCGTGGAGGGCGCTACGGTCACGCAGCTGGCACCGGTGCAGCTGCAAGCTCTCGAGCGTGAGACAAGCACCAAGGTGTTCCGCCGGGCCAGGGTCGTCGTCGATCCTGCTGCAACTCTGCAGCCGCAGGGTCTTGAGGTTCCCACAGAATGCTAGGGCGGCAAGCCACCCGCCGTCCATCCTGTGGTCAACGATGGTGAGCTCCTCAAGCATCGCACAGCAGCGGCCCACAGCCGCGATGCCGTCGTAGCTCCCCTCGCAACCCTGAAGCTCCAGCTTGACGAGCCGCTTGCATCCATGGGCGAGGATGGTGAGGCCGATGTCGGTGACGCCGCCGCCCTCGGCGGTGCCGTAGAACGCGGGGGACGCGGCGACAATGCGGAGGATCTGGAGGTGCGCGAAGGCAGAGACCGGGCGGAGGGCGAGGTCGGTGCAGCGGTGGAGCTCGAGCTCCTGCAGCGTCGGGCATCCGCCGGCGATGGCCATGAGCCCACCGGACTCGGAGGCGGCGGTGGCCGAGAGACGGCGGAGGCTGGGGAAGCTAGCGGCGACGGCGGCGAGCCCCCGATCGAGCGCGTCGTCGTCGACGAAGCGGCATGCGCCGAGCGGCGGGTCCGCGCTGGCGTCTAGGGTTAGCGAGACCGCGCCGCAGGTTAGGAGCGGGGAGGCGTGGGGCGCCGCCGCGGCGGTGAGCGCGGCGATGGAGGCCGGGAACAGGTCGAGGTCGGCCAGGTCGGGGAAGCGGTAGGGCAGGCGGTGCGCGACGAAGGCCCAGTCCCGCACGGCGAGGCGGCGGCGCAGGCGCCCCGCGAGGCGCGTCCACCGCCTGCAGACCAGCGAGGCGGCGCCCGTGAGGTGGGGCTCCGGGAGGCAGGCGAGGACGCGGAGGAGGAGCACGTCCGGGAGCGCTAGGGTTTGGTCGGGCTCGGGCGGCGGCGATGGCGGCGGGTGTGGCGCGGCCGCCATGGCCGCGGTGGTGGAGCGCGCGCGGAGGCCGCCGGGCTTGTCCCCCACCAGCCACAGGTCAGGCCAGCCCTTGAGCAGCTGGCGCTGACCAAGGTCGCCGAGGCAACGGCCGCCGGGCTCAGGCATCTAGCGCGCCCGCTCGGCTCCAGCGGTGTGGCGCGGGCGCGGCGCGGCGGCGCGCGGCAGCATGGGCCCCCCGCCCGGTGCGTGCAGCGGGGGCCGGGGCGCGGCGCTCTGATTTGGGTTTCGGAATTTCGGAGGCGCGGCGTGCGGGGGGAATCTGAGGTTTGGAATGCTGGGGGTGGGAGCCTGGAGGTTTTGGGATTTGGAAATTGGCGTTGGCTTGACGACCTCAGGCGCGGGGGAAGCGGCGAAGGGGAGGGATAGAGAGAAGGCCGGGATGTGGACATGTGGTGAGTTCAGAGTGTTCAGACGCGAGAGTGTGGCGTTGGTGTGGCGAAACTCGGTGGGGAGCGTGTGGTGGTGGCCCGGTGCCGATGGGATTTTTAACTTTTTTGGCACCTGACGCACCTTCGTTTGCTAGTTTTATACGTGTTCTGCACAGTTGCCATCACAATAAAGCGATTTGATAATAATTGTTTACGTTGAATTAATTAGGCAAAACGTGTATAGCAAATTAAATGTAGGTGTAAAAAGTTTTTGATTTCATCAATATTTAATATTCCATGCATGTACCGCAAATTTGATCATCTTGCCGAGACGAATCTTTTAAGCCTAAATAGTATATAATTGAACAATTTTTACCAAATACAAACGAAAGTGCTACCGTGTCTATTTTCTAAACTAGAAGGGATCTAAACAGAGCTTAAACCTCATGTTTTTTTTTACCACTCTCTGACGTGGCACGCCAGATAGACGTACCAACATGACAGCAAGCCAAGAAACCTCTATAGAACATGCGAAATGGCCTATTTGCTCTTGTTGCTCTCCTTCCACTCACTTACGTATGGGACCCACATGTCAGCTTCTTCTTCAACCTCTAGCTCTGGCTGACCACCGCTCCCGCCGTTGCGGCCTCTGTGCCCTAACCACCGCATACCTCTCCTGGCGCGCTGCTCAACCAGTCCACGTGCCGCCTGCCACTGCCGCGCCCTGCTGTTGCGTCCGTCGTCCGTGCCCGCTTGCCTGACGTCGTTGTGCTAGCACACTACTCCACGGTGCTAAGGCAGCTCCATATGTACGCACACACTTGTAGCGCTCGCTCGCTCTTGCTCGCACGCATAGGATGGTCTTGGGCGACGCCCATCGCCACCACCACCACGAACCGCATCGTCGCCGCCACTGGCTTGCCTCAGTAGGCAGCCCTTTCGTTTTCCCAAAGGTTCATGGTTGCCATGGTGCACATGCACGACGACGCGCACGGCCACGAGATCGCCTTCGCGCTGGCGCCATCGCCAATGGATCGCCTAAGCTCCGCTGCCCGCCCTGCGCTGCGAGCCAAGGTCGTCGGCTGCACGCTCTGCATCTGTGTCGATGGGCCGCCTAGCTGCTCACCGATGCCGAGCGCACACGTGCGTCAACGGGCTTTGTTGTTCGTCGCCGATGCCTAGCCACGCGCACACGCCGACGGGTGGCCTCGCTCGTCTCGCTACGGGCAGCCTCGGTCGCTCCGCGCTGGCTCGCCGGGCCCGCTACATGCTTGCACGCACAACTAGGGAAGGTCATGCGGCCTCCATTATGCCGTCGCACACGAGCTGGCCTCCGCGACGCTGCTCGCAGTCGCAGCCAACCACGCCGTGCACCTCCCATGCTCAGTAGCGCCACGTCCTCCTATCGCCGGTAGTGCACGCCCCACCACGCTCGGATCCCACCCGTGTTCCTCTCCGCGTTGCTGTGTGTGACTGGAACTGACACGCCGTGACGCCATTCGATCGCCACCACGGCCAAGCTAGCTTACCATACGTTAAGCGCTTATTAATTATTATTGGCGTAGTACTACTGCGATCTGTCGCTGAGCTCTGGATGGAGTTTAGTGGCAGCTTCTATGTTGTTTTCTCCTTCGCCCTGTCCCAACGCCATCGCCGCCCCGTCACCTCGCTCTGCTGAAGCAAGTCACACACGCACGTTGTCTTGCCGAGGCCATGCACGATGCAGCCAAGCACTAGCCATCGCCCAAGCTCGTCCACTGCACCACGACCACGCCTTGCCCACCTGGTTGGCTGGAGCTCCTCCCCTTCCCTCGCTGTGTGGTGATGGCGGGAGGTTGAAGAAGAAAGTGACATATGGGACCCGTACGTCAATGAGTGGAAGGAGAGAAGTAGTAGGTGTAAAAAGGTCATTTGACATGTCCTATAGAGATTTCTAGGCTCATTGCCACGCCGGCATGCTCATCTAGCGTGCCACATCAGTGAAAGTGATAAAAACATAGGATATTTAGTGTTTACTATGACAATTATACACGTAAAAGCATACTTATAGTACCCTCCGGATGGTAAAAAGTTAAAAAAACTATTTCGACTAAATTATTGATGGGAAAAAAACTATTTTGAATCCCTTGACCAACAAGCTTGCGGGGCCATAGGGTCCTCGGATGGTAAAAGTTTGTTCCGTTGCGATTTGAATCCCCTTGACCCGGTGTGCAATGCAAGGCGGTCTTCTCTGTTCTTGAGTTCCGTTATGACTTGTCCGAAAAAATAAGCCAAAACAGCGTTAGGCCCCGTTCGCTTCTCTGGAAAAATAAGCAAAACATTGCAGCTAGTTATGTAAGAGAGAAGTACTATAGCGGCTAGAAGATGTACTGTAACAATGTAAAAAGAAGCAGCCGGACCAGCCGGCTGGTCTGAAATTCGAACGCCGCCACTGGAAGTTTCTGGCTGCAACCTGCAAGAAATGGATTGCTTTCTCGTTTCTTCCGTTCAAGAGCTGCCACTATAACCTGGTCTTTGTTTTGTTTTTTTTTTTGATTGAAACTGTCTTTGTTTTGCTTTTGCCTAGTGAGACTGCGAGGGACATGAAATATTTACTCCATCCTTTCTATAATCACTATAATTTTGTTGTAATTCAAAAAATTTCTAACTCTAACTAAGTTTCTTTTTTCCAAAAACACATTAACATATATACGTTCAAACAAATACAATTTAAAGAATATATTTCATAGATAATTTAATAAAATAATTAAATATCCTTTTTAACTGAATAGAATTGGTGAACTTTGATTAGAATAAAACTTAAGCAACCTATAATTCAAATGCATGGAGAATTTGATTAGCTATCTATTGTTGTTGGAAACGGTAGGAGTGCATCTAGTCCAACTGGTTAGAGCGTCCCAACGGCACTCTCGTCAGGTTCTGGGTTCGACTCTCCGTGTGAGCGAATTTCAGGCTAGGGTTAAAAAAATTCCCTCGTTTGTCCTAAGCCAAAGCATAGGTCTAAGGACCAGTCCGTTCTCACAGGGCGACGGTGCCGCTGTGTAAGGATGGGGTAGGGGGTCGGGTTTTTCTAGGCCTGTGTGAGAATGTCTTCTTCTTAATGCAATGCCGGAGGGTCAATCTGGGCACAAAAAACCGAGAACCGAACCGAACTAACCGGAACCAAATCAAGTAACCCAAACCGAAATATTCGGTCCCAGGTTCGGTTCCAAGTTCCCAGGAACCGAAATTATTACGCTTAATTTAGTTCCGACACTCGGTTAACCGAATTGACATGAAATAACCGAACTATGTAAAGGCCCCTAGAATTCAATCTTGTTTTTTTTTATTGCAAGCTTGAATATTGCTCTATGCTTGAATATTTGAGAGAACAATAACATATATGTGTTGTACTGTTGTTTTATGTTGTATTGCTGTTTAAATTGTCCCTTTTAACTGTATGAAAATCAAGCAAAATGTTGCCGAAATTGAAAAATTCGGTTCCATCGGTTAGAACCGAAATTCCTCGGTTCCGTATTTTCAAAGTAACCGACCGATCCCTTCTTCTCAGGTAACCGAATTAGCTGAAGAACCGAACCGATCGGTTTCGGTTAACCGAACGCCCAGGATTACCTGAGGGGTGTCTAGTTTTTTTTTTTTTTTTTTTTACCATGTGCATGTACCTATACTTCAACGTTAGGTTGAACTCCCCTTAAATACAGGAGAGGATCTGTTACTTCATCTTTTCTTGAACTGTAAGCATTAGTTCTTGTAGTTTGTTCAATATTAATTCAACTGCACTTTTTTGTCGAACAAATTATGTGCTTAACTGCTTACTGACGTTTGATGTAGTACTTCGGTTACGCAGACAAAACCATGTCAGCTTAGCCAAGGATGGGCCATTCAACTTTTCCACATCTCTAACCCAGTTCACAAGCCCACATAAGAGCGGGCTGGGCCTTTCTCCTCTTCTCTTATCGCGAGGATTACCCAGTTCACACGGCAGTGTGCTGCTGCAATGTGTGACTCGTCGCCAATCCCACTCCTCACACAGGCCAGCCCATGTGCGGTTGTCAGACCATTTCGGCCCAAAGTCAGACAACGCAATGCACGCACACATGTTGCCGTTCTGTAAGCCCACAAAGGATTCTAAAAAAAATGTAAGCCCACAAAGTCTTTCTTCTAATATTTCGGTCAACGAAACAGAAAAATGATCATGTTCAAGCGAAGAGAAAAAAATTGTTGCAACCAAAAGAAAAGGGATATTTTTTAAATAAAGAAATTATTCCGGCTCTACAAGAGTTTTGCACTCAACCACCATTATTGCATAGTTTCAGCCACCGATAAAGAAAATCTCTCAAAAAGCATCAAAAGCGTGGAAGACTGTATAAGCAAATTAAGCTCTGAGCCTATTAGAAAGCAACCATCCATTCCTGACGAAAAATCTCTATTGCTATAGTGCAGTCTCCATCACTCAACATGGCTTTTTAAAATTTGGTTGGTCGGCCTCCCTTTAAAGTATGGACCATGAGAGACATTCTAAATTCCATGTTCCATATCTTCGTTTAGCTATCCACTTTGTATAAATCCTTTCTCTATAATTCAATACATCCCAGACTAGTCATATCTCTAAGAGAAAGGAATGGAGTTTGGAGCAACACAAACATGGCACTAGCTGTCAGCCTCACGTACACTAAGATAGCAAGGCATGTTGGCTAGCCAAATTTAGCTACCAAGGCTCATAGGATAGCATGGCAA